AGCCTGCAGAAGCAGGCAGCAGCTCACGCTGACGATGACCAAAGCACGAGCAGTAGCAGCGGTGTTGTCACAATAGCCTGCAGAGACAGGCAGCAGCACACGCTTACGACGAAAGGACCCGTGGAGCCAGCAGCAGCAGCGGTGTTGTCACAATAGCCTGCAGAGGCAGGCAGAAGCACACGCTGACGACGACCAAAGTACGAGCAGCAGTGAGTCCCCGAAATAAACAATGGACTCGCTCGCACCCGACGACAAACGAATAAAGAAAAGAGAGAAAGAGACATGGCTATATGTGTGTGTGTGTGGGTACGGACTACGCGCCGGCGCGTTGACCATCTTAGCCTCGTCGTCCGAGAAGAACGCAAAAAGAAGCCAAGAGGAACGATAAAACGACCACGTGTCTTACACAAAAGGAAAATGTCCTACACCCATATTTCACCTCCCCACATCCGGCTCGAAGGACCATGTTTGAAAGCGATCTCAGTAAGATAGTGGACTGTATAATTTGTATCGCACGCCGGATTTGGGGGAGCGTGAAAAAGGATGTAAATAAAAAGGACACAATAATAAATGCACAACACACTTTTAAACACTTTATCCGTTTATTATACAAAAACAATCTCTCTATTTAATTTTACTTTAACAAGTCACAATACTTGCTTACTTGCAAGATAAAAAAAGGAAGAACTAATTTTTGAGTCAGACGGAGAAATTACGTGTCAATCGAAAATGTGAATCGTTTTCGTTACGGAAATCTGACATAAAAACGATACACGTGAAAATTATAAACACGAGCGCAAAGCGTCTTACCGAAAAGGGCGTTTGAGGTTGACTAACGATAACCGCAGCAGCAGCAAGCTGCTGGACAAAAGTAAGTATAAACAGAGTCTATTGGTATATTAGTAGACGCGTGCCCGCTTATGATTGGCCCTTATAGGTAAGAGAATATCCTAAAGCGCGAGATTTAAAATCTCATAAACTAAATTTTCTATTTACATCAGTACAATGTTACTGATGTTGCACAACTACAGTAGTGACTTTTAAAAGTCTTCGCGCTAACACTGACGCTGCTGCGTGGCGTTTTAATTCTTCAATCATAAACTGTGTGCTTGGTACACTTGGTAAAACAATGCTGGTGCCATGGTGCGAGCCAATGTCTGCGCGGTGCAATGATCAAAAGAAAAAAACGAGAGGGAAGATGTGGTTTTAGAGGAGGTAGCCTCTACTCTGTGCAATGGGGGAATAAGATTCCCACATACGTGGGCTGCCAAGTTGGATCTGCTATTATGAAAAATTTTGATTATTTGATGTAGGACTTGTCATCAACTATTCCATAATTTCTCTAGATAAGCTTCTGATGAAATAGTAAACTTTCAGAGCATAAGTTACGTTTGTAAAGTTATTCGCTACATAACGCTTAACCTTAGAGACTCACTACTATTAAGTTAATTAATTTTAAAATTAGTTTCAATACAAAATTAAAAAACAATCATGTCATATGTATTTTTTTAACAAATTTTATTTTTAAAATAATTTAAATAAAGTGGTGCATTCATGCCATGTGTTAGATTGAGTAGAAGATGAAGATGGGCATGTGCATATTGCGTCTCTGCATGTGTCCAAGTTGGCATTTTCAGTTTACTAAATTAATAATGAAACAATAATTATTGTCACATAGTCGATGTGTTGTAATGATCGGACATTTTTTACGTTAAACTCTGATTTGCACAATATATCCGGACTAATGTAGCTTTGAAACATCGTATTTACAAGAAATATGAACCCAAATGGCTGATTTCAAGATTTTCGAAATTTTTTTTCCGATTAACTAAAAGTCTCTAACGTTATCCGCTTATAAGCGTATCTGTTTTTTATATGCTTACTTCGTTTTCAATCTGTATAATATAGTTATTAAACAATGAAAATAGATGGTGACAATTAATTACTGAAAATAAGATTGCCTTTCTTTTTCCCCTACCTAGTAATTTGTTATTTCCATATACTTCACGCTGTGTAATAAAGACACGAAGTAAGAATTTTAACAGATATTCACCTGAACAGAAATTTATTGAGGATACCTCCTTAGTTCGTGAGTACCTCTATAGGTATCCTACAGCGGACCTGAGGCAAAGTAACGTGGAGTACAGTTGGTCCTCTTTAGGTATCCTAAATAACCGTGTATACATAACCAAACTTAGAGCTATTTTCCAGTCAATGTATGTGTGAATTCAATAAAAGCGAGGGACAGAAATAGAGTTAATCTGTCAGGGTAAGAGAGCTGCTTGAGTAAACAAATTATGATGACAATCGATTAATAAATAAAAAACAATCTAACCTATGTATATGTAAATTATTGATTAAATGAGAAATTTTGTGTCTCAAAAGTACTTAAATTGCTTATACTTTTAATACTTAATGTAGTTATTTAACATATAAGTATATAGTAAGTATTGAAAGTATAAGCGATGTCAGTACTTTTGAGATGCAACATCTCAAAACTATACGCAACAGGCTTAAGTATAATGCCAAAAGTTTACATTTTTCATCACTCTGCAAATTTCTGTTAAATAATGATTATAATTGCGGCGCTAAAGTAGTCGTAATTTCTTTAATTATTGTACAGCACGTAAAAGTCATTTGAACAAGTATACATTTTTTGCACCAATCTATTTTTTATTCTATGATAAAACACCTATAGGTATTATAGTGTATTTTATCATGATTCTATCTCACTCTCTCACATTGAATTTATACATATATTCTAACTCTAGAGACTCTTCAAGTTTGGTTAGGTACACAGTTCTTTAGGATACGTAAAGAGAACCAACTGTACGCCGCGTTACTTTGCCTCAGAAGGTCCTCCATAGGCTATTTAGGTATCCTCTAGAGGGCCTCTCGTTCGCCTCAACAAGATTTCTTTTCGGGAAACTTGCTTAGCATGAAGAAAGTTCGTGTGCATGTGTAGGTGCAAAATATAGTTGCACCCACACATGCGCGCACGCGCGTGCACATAAATAATTATGCTTAAATAATCAAGTGAAAGAGTTAAAGTTTTATTAATTTTACAGGTAGTGATTCGCTCAATAAAAAACAACAAAAATGAATGAGTATAAACAATGAAAATTGTAATATTTAAAATTATGTCATAAAAGAGCTCCAAATTAAAAAAAAAAAGTTTCGTAACAAAAATAATTTTGTGACAAAAGATCAAAAAAGGATACTAAAACAATAAATATTAATAGATTAAAAAAAAAATTATCTATGGATTATGGTAACAGTACCAATATTATCAGTCTGAAAAAAGCTGCGATAGATCTTCGTAAGTTAAAATGGCACTTTTAAGAAATTGGGTTAAAAACCCGTTATATTTCAACGAGACTTCTTTACCCTTAAGTTAAAAGAGAGAATACCATTTTTTATGGATAGAAGTCCGCTTAATCCATGCAGTCCTTACTTGTAACTCTGGTGTATTAGTAACTTGAGAACTTTAAGCTCACTGTTAGCATGTATTTTAATGAAACATTGAGAAAAACGAATTGCTTCCGCTTACAATAAAGCAATTTTAACTTCTACAGCAGAAATCATTTACACGTTTTACAGATGAAGTCTTCTTTTGTAATATGCTCCATTAAAAAAAGAGGGCAATGAGATATAACAGTGAGATATTTGGGATAGAAATCTAGATAAAAATAAATATTAGTAGTGTCTAGAAATTCAGGTCATGTGGTTAGTAAAAATCTTCGTTTACTTAATCACGCCAAATTTTAGACAGTTTGAACTTGAGTGGCTTGAAGTTTACGCTTATTGTTATATTTATTTAATGAGAAATATGAAATGAAACAAATAGTGCTTTAGTTACTTTTGAATCTTTTAGCTTTATACCATCTTGTGCATGTATCAAATAATCTTCAACGTGACGTGTATGCAAACAAGAAGACATACATACCGACACACTCTGGTGTGTCATATCAACAAGTGCGCAAGCATTAGACTGATCAAAACAATGATTCATTTTTCTTACAAAGTACAACATAAAAATTAACATAATTTTTTAACTTTATATTTGAATGAATGTAGCACACTGAATTTTAGACACATATGTTTCTTGGAAAACGAAACTTGATTGTTTGTTTGTCTTTAACCTAAGCAGTACTCGTAAGAGACTTCGTAAAATGTAAAGTTCTATTTTATAAGAGCGAATCATTACAAATATAAACATTAACAGCAAAGTTATGAGGAAAAATTTAGTATATTAGATGTGTTTGACAAAGAAAGTTCTATCCCACAAAATTTGACCTTTCAATAAAGTTTAAGAATGCAATATCAACTTGACTATCAACTTTTTCCAAAAAGAAGTCAAATCTTATCCAAATCTACTTTCACGACGGTTTAAAGATACCAGCTGACGTGCTATAAACCTATTTCTTCCAATTTTTTACTACAAAAGTAGTGAGATCCGAAATAATCCTTTCTCAAGCTTAAAAATGCCCAAATTGTTGTAGAAGCTCATAATAATTTTAGTTTTGTTTTAATAATTATTTTTTCAACGACTATTTGAGTATACTTAAGCTTGGTAAATAATAACTGTGGATCTCACTACTTTTTCAACTTTTTAAAGGCGAATTCTATAGAAAATACTTGACAGCTGTGACATTACATTTTCAGTTTTTTTAAAAGGTCAGTTCGTATAAGCCTACTTTGAGTCAAAAAATCAAATCTGTGTACTTTTTTTTATTACATCTTTTGGCTGGAAATTTTGTAATAGTACTGTTTAAATAAAAAGTTTAATTTTTACACTGTTACTGATACTATTACAATTACTCTAGAGGGCTCCAAAATTTATTAAGTTGTATTCGCACAAAGCACTACTACCGATTTCTATAGGTTTGGCAAAAAACATTTTGAACTGAACTACTTAAGGTGAAATGCCATTTATATTTATGTATATAAATTAATTTTCTGCTAACTTTATATAACTTCATTCTCAAAAAATAACTATATCCTCCCACAACATTTTCTCTTACATCTGACTTTAGAAAACTTGACATGGCATGCATGCGAACGATAAGCTTATTGCTCTACAATTTACCGCTACACCTGGAAGACTCAGATGGTGGTGACATGGTCCAAGCAAAAACACATTTCTACTTGAAGTATTTTACGCTCTTCATGAATCTGTTAACTGACTGCAACGAAGCGCTGTCTGAGCAAAAAGAACAACTGACTAAACAGCACTTCGAGGCCGCTGACGAACTCAACACTTTAAGGGACTATACCATACAGGCCATGAGCAATTTATTAAGCGCGAACATCGACTGTGGTCTCTTGAATTCAATTGGTAAGTTCTTAGAATTTTGATTTGGGTATAGTATACTTCCTAAACTTTAATATGTTTAGCAGAAAATTTAAATATTTAATTCTTAGTAAGTGATTACATATCATAATCTTTGTTATAAGTACAATCAAAGATAAAAAAGTCAATGTGTAATTTTTAGCGTAATTAGTACTTAAATTTGCTTCATCGCGCATCGCGCTCCTGTGTGACTTGATTTTTCAGTATAACCGATTAACTTATTGAAGGTACGCATTGAAATAATGAGGGTAAATTGCAAGTACACCTACTTCATCAAGAAATTATTTAATGATTAAAAGTGAATCAGCAAACAGTATACCGTGATATAATCGCTCATAATAACAGCACTCAAAATGTTACAATCTTTAAGCTATTTTTAGACTAAAAACTCAGTGACCTTCATGCTTTTAGCTTTAGAACTCCAAAACACAGTAACTTGGTCTTCTAACCTCTTACTACCATATAACACAGTTACCTTCATGTTTCAAACCTTTACAACGATAAAACTAAGTTACTAGTGGCCTGCCTCATGCTTTTATAAAAGCGTGAAGCATAATTTTTCTGAGGAAAAATCACAAGTCCTCAAAGCATAGAATCATAAGTCTTACAAGTTTAATGTGGTATATTTATTGAGTACAAATAATTTACCTACTTCATCAAAGTACGTGCGGTCAAGATTATTTTAGTTAATCTCTTAGGGAACTTGTAATTCTTTCGTTAATGTATGGTGTACCATCTTAATGTACTAGAAGGTAATACGTTTGCAATGCATATTCACATGTTTGTATATAATAGTTGCTAATCATATTTGGAAGGAGAAAAAAACAGTGGTTAGTGGGTGCATGAGTATCCACCCTGTTGATTGTGTCCAATAGAAACCAATAAAAATATACTTTCTTCTATTCGGATCTAAAAGTTTGCGATAAAAATCCGTATTTTTTTTGTAAAAGTAATGTACTGGAGCACGATCCTGCATAATTTTATTATTTTTATCAAATAAAAAATTCTTAGAAAGAGTTCTATGAAGTTGTATATAGTGGACTCTATATACGCGCTATTATTTGTTGTATAAGCAATGTAATGTGATATATTACATGCTCTTATACTATCGTTTATTAAAGTTATACTTATACATAGGTGGGATCTACACTACAGACTAAATCAACGAATTCAGATTGGTAATCTTGAGAAAATATGTAACGGAAGGAAATTTTCCATTTTATCTTCCTCCTGACCCCGTCATGCATCACCACTGCACCAGTCCTTTTACACTACCCCGTCTCACCATACTGCGCCAGTAGTCCTCTCTAGACCTCTCTAGCAATGCTCCTTGTCCCGTCATCCTGCGCCAGTCCCTGCTCTTCTACACCACACCACATATTTTAAATTTTATTTATTATTTTATTATTTTCGTTGTTGAACATGTAGTTCTGCTCTCAGTTGTTTACATAATAACTTGTGGGTCAGTGCATAAGCATACGATCAGTTAAGAGCTAATCAAGGAGCAAGAATAAAAACTCCAAAATGTCAGAAGTTTGTTTGAGCAACGTTTTGATGGTATTAACGCCAACTTCATACGGCTATTTTCTTAACAGAAAAACGCTACAATTTTTTAAAGCACATTGTAGGGCTACTGCTTACAAATATTTTTTAACAAGATATATATATCTCCCTATATTTTACAATTATTTGTGTAGGGCATTCCACATAAACTTCCCACAGCCCCCCCTCCCACATATAAGATAAAATTTGACCGTTTTTAACGTTAATTCGACATTAACATTGTTTTTTTAAAACCCTCAGAACCCCTCAACAGCTTCCCCAAGTTATTTTTCTTGTTCCTCCACAACCCTTCACAAACTCCCGATGTAATAAGTATCAATTATTTGTACTTAATTTAAAAAACAATTTTTTTCATCTATTTTTCCACACTGGTAAAGAGGCAAATAGATAAGCTTTATCGTATGTATATAATATGCTTTTTTGAAACTATTAAACTTCATTACATATATTTGCTTTTTTTAGAATTATTGAAGCCTCATCACAAAAATTAAATCGACTCCCCTATATTTTTTTATGTGACTTGAGACTCTCTCTATATTATTGAGACCTTAAGGAAGTCTGAAAGTTCTACGTCTTACCATCCTTTTTGGAAGCTAACTCGATGTTATGTCATAACAAAAATTATTTTATTTCAAGAAATTAAGTTATAAATTAACGTTTTACATAAATAAGGTCTTCTTGACCCTCCCAGACCATCTATAAAAAAAATATTATTCAAATTAATGTACATTATGTTGAACGTTTCTAACTAAAACGTATTCCTTTAACTAGATTATTTTTTTCTATTTTTCTGTGTAGATAAATATAATTACTTACACGATTTATCTTCCGATTTAAAAAATTGGTTCATATACGAAAAAGCGACATTTATTTTTAACATCACGATTTTTTTTTTCTTTCTTTTTTTTCTACCAGGTTACCACGACAGCCTACTGGCCCAGTCGCGGGGGCAACCTACTCACCACCTATGTGTGGGGGTGTATTGCCAACACCCATTTCCAAACCTTTTTCCTCATATTCTACCTGAATTCATAGGCACAGTGCGAGTATCTCCGGTGGAATACCTTGCCAGTTAAGCTGACACTCTCTGCACCAATGGTGCATCGGATCCACTCGCCACTGTGTAGCCTTTCCCCGGAGAAGACTCCATATCCCAGGGCGTCCACTCCTCACCGGTTGAGCAGGCGCTCTCTGCCGAAGCATCGGATCCAGGCTAATTAGCATCCCCATATTTCAGGGACCACTCCTCGCTGGGTAGGGCGGCGCTCCCTACCCGGGGCCTGTGGCATCGGATCCACTTATCCCTACCTATAGCTCTAATACTGTTTCGCATTCACCCAGGCGCGAAAACCTGTGGGGCAAGGAAAAAACCCTGGAATTACTCTGAAGGAAAATTCCACGGAAAAACCTGCCCCGAAACAGCCGGGGTTACATAGGAACTTTTCCCGATGAAAACAGTTTTTGAAAAAATCTGCATTCATCGGGAATCGAACCCACGACCCCTAGAACTGCGTTGTATCAGTAACAAGCACGCTTACCACTGAGCCAACGCCACTCCTAACATCAGGATTTTTATTAAGTAAACATTTTTCAATAATGACATTATATAAGATTTCACTAATATTTGAAGTAAAGTCCCAAAAACCGTTGTCATCGCTAACCGCGAAAACTACTCAACCGATTTTGCTGAAATTTTGAATACTAATACGTGACACTTCCTAGAAAGTTTTCGTATAGTTTTTTTCATGTAAAAATTGACAACGATAGCAATAAATAATTTTAAAGTTTTGCAAAAACACGCTAGCTTTTCATTTCAGTTCATCAGGATCCGCTAGGTGACGTGGAAGTAAAATCGAAGCTATCTGCAATAGACGTAAGTGGGTCTGGTTATAATATCCCCGAGAAAATTTCCCAATACCATAGTCGTTTACTGGCAGTGCACCAAGAATAGAGTTGTAAGTCGTGCAGCTTGGTATTCTGGTTAACGACGACACTCTTTTTCAATAGAACAGCGACTTCAGTCGGATTCCATCCCAAACTTCCAAGATTAAAGAGTGACACGACTAAGAGGGGCTTTGAATGCCAATGTCTCTAGCGTAATACCAGGATACGTCTAGCTAGAACACAATCTGCTCTAACTATTTAGATTTTTGTGTCTGTTCTTTCAACCGACCTGGTGCCACCCGAGCAGATTTTTCTACAGTAGAAAGACAGGGAAAACAACTCTGAGAAGTTCGGGCAGCCACGTCGTTTGGAAATTTCATCAGTATCCTTCTCAGGTGTTCACGCCAATCGTGAACTTTTAATTTTCTTTCTTGTTTTCTAATTTTCCTTGTCATAATTCGTTTAATGTAACAGGTAGATTCCCTAGAACTGTGATGGCTGTAACTTTGCTTTATTATCTAAAACTATCACTTATCAAGATTATAAAAATCACTTTATATTTATACATATTTTAATTTCAGAACTTATATCGTCTTATCTTATCTCTGTATTCTACTGTTACCCTTAACTTTTAATCCAGTATAAATATTTGCCAATGTAATGTAAATAATTTTGATACTGATAATGACTACTTGTGTTTATTTGTGAATAGTTAACTTTAGTTATTCTCTCCACTATCAATGTAATAAATTCAGACACGTCTTAACTAGCAAAGAACTAACATCAATTGTGCTCTGAGCTCCGTTAACCGCTATTACAGCACATACGTACGCTATTAAATAAACGCTATTCAAACGACTAAGAACAATCAAAAGTTTTATTGATCCTCGGTAATTCCCGAACAATTAATATTAAAAGATCCCTGCGTTCGTCAAATAATGAAGCTTGACCGTACGACGAGGTATTCTTTAGGCCCACTTTTTCTAGCAACGGTGAACGGTTAGTTATCTGACGAACGACTAGAAGAAAAAATATTCTTCGACCAGCGGCGTACCTCCCTCCAGCACGGTTTCCGTACGCAGAGAGTGACCAGAAATCACTGATCCTACGAGGTCTGCGAGAAGCTAACCTAACAGTGAAGCTTTAAAGGGAAAATAAACTTGATCAAACGAGGCAGTCTTCAACAGACAAGCGTCATGAACTAATCTTCCCACTTTAAATCACCAAAACGACTGAGCTTTACAAAAAAGGAGGTGCTTTAGATACCAATGTCTCTGGAGTAACACCAGAAGACGTTGGGAAAGAACTCTACAACTAGCTCCAACGCTTCAGACGTTGTCGTTCTCCTCCTGATTAGTCTGGTGCTACAAACGCTGGTCAGAAAAGATAAGATTTTTCTGAGGTATCCAGGTAGTCACGTCTGCTGGAAACTTCAGTCAAGAAAGAGTTAAGCTGACCGGTCCGTTTTAGGGCAACTGAAAATAGTACTGCGTTACTAACAAACATATTACAACTACACAAAGTTGACAAAAACAGCC